TGAACTCGTAAACTGGAACCTATTGAACTGCGTGAGATTGACTTCGCGGCGAAGGAAGGGGTAAGTTGGATGGAAAGAGGAAAGGGAGAAAAGTCGAGGCTGTAGGGAAAATAGAGAAACGCAAGTAGAAAAGACTCACGCTGCTGTATGTAGCAGAATAGATTTTTGAGAAATCCACCGCCGCCATAATGCCCGTCTCCGCAAACCGTTGTGATGCAATCAGTATGTTCCCGAACTGTTAACAGCAGATGATTTGACGCGGCTTGACGGCCTCCGATGGCCAATCGCAACGCCTAGATTAACCTATCTTTGGGCATTAAAGAACATGCAGTAATATAGAAGCCCAATAGATTATGAAACAACAGCTTTGAAGACGAAAAGATGAAGTATTAGCCACCAGTGGCTCGTTGGACACTCAGTGACATCCCAGCAACGCGATGCTTTGCAGGCTGGCTAGCGAAGACGCGCTTGGGAGGAAAGAACCGCGTAAAGTGGTCCGAATATGCGCTAGTCCTATTGCAGAGCATGTGTCACGTGGTATCACCTGACCGTATGGCGGAACGAAGGAACAGCATGCCAGCAGGAGAGCTGCAAACATCGCTGCTCGGTCGCTTATCCTTCAACCACACTCTTCCGTGCATTATTTTCTCCATCAATATGACTGTCGTGGAGTCAGTGAAGAGCGCCGTTGGGCTCGGGGATGGCACTGGTATGTTTTGGTGCCATTGGCACTCGAATTGTGGAATCGGACGCCGAAGGATGGATATCTGCAACGGCTGCTAACTCATTGAGATAGTCGCTTCCCGTCAAGAAATGTCCGATGCCCGTCTTCCGCTTCCGTACCGAGACTCCTGTGCACACCTCCTGATCCCATTGAACCGTTGCCGACAGCAGGAGTACTACCTTCCTTGGAAATGCGAGGTATTACAACTGTGCTTTGCGTCCCAGTACATGATTTCGGGGTTTCCGGCAGCTACTAACCCTTGAGCTTCTGCTACAGAATGAGAGACACAGCTACGAGAAGTGTCAATACGAGGAATTCAAGAAGCGCGTCGCCAAGATGGATGAGCTGCGAGCCGCGAAGAATGGTGCCCGGAGCAACTGATTTGTGAGAGACCAACTGTGCACTCGAAATGAACGGAGGAACCGACTATGTACATAATAAAGATTATGAGGTTATTTGTCCATGCACCGACTGGCGTTGGGATCTTCTTCGCAATGGAGTTGCCGAGACTATGCCAATGAGCACCTAAGCCCTGTTGATCCATCGAGGCGCATTCTGCAGGGACTACATACTTTTACACGACGTTGAGTCGGTCATGTGTGAGAGCTTCAGTCGACTCCAAAAGGTGGCCAGTGGCTGCGGATTGCTGTTGGCCAATGGTATTTGTCAGCAAATCTGCTTTGCAACAGAACTAGCTCTTGGTTGCTCTCGTATATTTCCGTCTCCGCTTCCTGTCTATCCTCCCGTTATGCGGGGAGTTGAGTTCGGAATGTGGCCATTCCCAGCGGCTCATGGATGGGCTGATGTCGTTGCAGTCTCGATATGTCATACCTTCATGGATGGGCTGATGTCGTTGCAGTCTCGATATGTCATACCATTCCGCAGGGACTGCCTCATCCTCCCAATGACAGTCTTTCCTCAAGTAGCATAAAGTAAGAAGAAGTCAATCTTCAGCTCTTCCTGGAGGTCAATTCCGAAGTTTGCATTAGAACAAGGCCATAAGACAATATATCATCCATGGCACGCTACTCTAAATCGCACCGGCATTTCGTGGAGTTCAGAAGTCTTCAACAACTCCTCAAAGATCAATAGTAAGCTATAAAAGTGTCCTATGTCCTAGCTGTTTGCTTAAAAAAATAAGCAACATACTTGCACTGCTGCCCTATTTCGTGCTACAGACGTAATCACATGATCCGATACCTCCGCGCTTTGGAGGAATCACCAGGTTGCTTATAAATCCTTTTCGCGCAGTTTCCGCCGCATTATCAGCAACATTAGTGAGTATTCCAATTTTGCTGCCCCGCGGGAACGAAAAATCCTCCCCCACTACTATGCCAGTGGGAAAGATTTACGCCAATAGGCGATTGATTCCGGCCACCGAAGCTTCGGCGCGGAAAAGCAGATAAAGTCCAACCATCACTTCTGCGATGATCAGATAATCTCACTTCTTCTTCTCCTGTTCCTGTGTACCTTAGATACTTTGCATCGCCTGCCACGGACATTGGTTGCATCTTACTCGCTGGCCCCGCGTTCATTCGAGGTCTAGACTGCCAGGGATTTCCGCCTCCTCAGTGCGGGTTCTTGGATTTGTCCTCAGCTTGACCGCTTTGGCTGATTGTACTGGCTTGGTTGGGTCTTTCATGATACGATGGGTTTACTGTATGTCAAGCGTGACGATGCGCAGAATCTGCTGCTAATATTAGCTTAAGAGCCCTTGGGACAGCACTTGACTGGGAGGAAGCCAAGAAACGTTCCGATCAAGTACGGAAATGGGGGATTGAGGTCAGTCCCTTCAAGTCAATGTTCTCTGTCCGTACGACATAGGACACCGGGACCTTTACTGACATAACGGATAGCAATTACTGGCTATTTGGAACAGAGCAAAAGGGAAAGAGCGTGATGCCCTGCTCTGGGGTGACGAGGTAGCTACCTCTTCCATCGAGTTGATTGCTCTTTCTGGCCGAATGGCTCACACGGGATCAGGTCGAGTACCTTGTGGTAGCTATCGATGACGAGGCTAAAAAGGCGCGATTGTCTCTGGCTCAAGCTGAGATTCTCAAGTCCTTGGCCAGAGACGAGGCATTGTGGAAGGAGAAGCGCTCTGGTCCGGCGCATGGTAAAGAACAGTGAGTTATTTCAGTTATGTGCCTTATTGCCGGATCTGCCTAATACCGGCGACTTAGTGAGGGCGAAGAACCTCCTCATTTCCATCCCGAGTTCGGCCGCTTTATGCTAGAGGCTACTCCGGGTAGGCCGTGGGGTATCGACTTCAAGGATCTTTTGAAAGTGGAATCGAATATGAAATGGAGGTACGTTTGCTATTGCCATCGATTAATATGTATTCATGGTCACTGACTGTACTGGTTCAGGCGGGAGATTGCAAAGTCTCATATGGCGCCAAATGAGGTCCCCATCACACTTACCACATTTCCTCGTCTAGGGACAAAGGATGATTACATTCAGCCTTACTATCCTCCATCTGGGCCAGCACTGCGCTCGCAGTTTGTCCCGGACGAAATTGCTAATCCACATATCAGATTCCCAACACTGGCAGCAAATATCAGGTCGAGAAGGGGCCGGAAGGTCGAGTTGAATGTGCCTGTATTCGTGGACAAGAACACCCCAGTCCCTTTCAAGGACCCCACCGTTAACTATGATCTTCACAAATGGCCTGAGGATGATGATGTGCGAAATGGAGCAGCAAAGGAAGGCCATGTCTATATGGATGCGATGGCGTTTGGAATGGGCAGTTGCTGCCTTCAGATCACATTCCAAGCAAAAAACATAACGGAAGGGAGAAAACTGTATGACCAGCTTAGCCCGCTGGGACCCATTTTACTGGCACTTACGGCTGCGACACCAATATACAAGGGATTCCTTGTCGATACTGACGTTCGGTGGAATCAAATCGGGAACTCTGTTGACGATAGGACGCGGGAAGAGCTTGGCGAACTTGTAAGGCATCTTGCATCCCCTGCCTTTCGACGCAATCGAATTAACAAAAGCACCAGCCTCTGAAGAATGATAGATGGAGGATCCCTAAGTCTCGATACGCGTCCAACTCCACCTACATCTCCCAGGACCCGCGGCTGCGCAAGGAGTACCTGGATCCTGAACTGATTGTGGATGAGGACATCAAGAAGCGACTTGTTGAGGGTGGCATGGATGATTTGTTGGCGACTCATTTTGCCCACCTTTTCATCCGTGACCCCTTGGTCATCTTCTCAGAGGATCTGGACGAGCTGGATTTGAACAAGGCCGACCACTTTGAGAACTTACAGTCGACTAACTGGCAGCACATGCGCTTCAAGCCGCCGCCACCAGACAAGGCTGACATTGGCTGGCGTGTCGAATTCCGTTCAATGGAGATTCAGATGACGGACTTTGAGAATGCGGCTTTCAGTATCTTTATTGTTCTCGTCACTCGTGCCATCCTCAGCTTCGACCTTAACTTCTACATACCGATTCAGCGAACCACTGAGAACATGGAGACGGCTCATGCACGCAATGCGGTGCTGGACCGGAAGTTTTATTTCCGCAAAGACCCGTTCTCCCGCCGTGTCCCCAGAGCGAGCCATCGTTCGACCAGCGCCAGCGAGGCCTCATCGGCCTCTTCTTCTGCCTACAATACACCGCCTCCGTCACCTCCTCTTGGACCAGTGGATCTGGAGTACGATCTTATGACTATTGATGAAATTGTCAATGGCTCTGCTGATGGATCATTCCCGGGGCTCATTCCGCTCGTCGAATCGTACCTGAATAGCGTCAATGTCGACGTGGAGACTCGGTGTTCCTTAGCTACCTACCTTGACCTCATCAGGAAACGAGCAAACGGAACTCTCTGGACAGGGGCCCGGTGGATTCGTGAGTTCGTTGCCTCTCATCCTTCGTATAAGCAGGATAGCGTGGTATCTGAAGAGATCTGCTACGACCTTGTGAAGGCTGTGGAAGAGATGACCGTAAAGGAAGGCAGAGACGGGAGTGTCGGATGGCAATTACTCAAGGGCAAATAAGATTCAAAAGCATTTGCATTATCGAGTGATGAGTTTTGTTTCACAGACCTAGCATTGGTGGATAATATCATTAGCTATAGATAGCATTCTCTTGCGTTACTTGGTGTCCCATTACAAGACTTAGGCAAATCCGTCTTTGTTATCCAGACCCTTTCCAGTTCTCCCCCTTGCACTTTTAATCTTTGGCTTTCTCCGCAGAATCCCTTGCAGGTATCCGAGCAATTCGTCCCTCGAAACCGATCATGTGTGGAGCCAAACTGATCTCAAGCCAGGGAAATCTGCTCATCCTCCGTTGGTCGTCGACACGAATCAGCCAGACCAGTCACCTTCCATTCCCCATTGATCTTATGGAGGACGAACAGTTCGACACCGACATGGTCCACAACCCCATTGATCTTCGCCCTGAACGGGGCCCACACAGCAGCTAGATTTGCCGACTCGTGCACCTTCACTTCAGGGTCCCAAATGCGCTCGTCGATATCGTCCTTGATCTTGGAAATGTGCTCGACAAAGGCTCCAATGGTGCAGAATCGTGGCACGCTGGGTGGCGGTGGCCAGAGCGCCATTCCTCCTGCCTTGACGCAGTACTTGTCGAAGTCATCGCGAGACTTTGTTTCCAACGCCGAGAGGAATCCCTTTGCCACTGCGATAATGGCGTCGACCTCCTCTGTCAGATTGCAGCCGGTTGAGGTTGAGACATCCGATTGTTGCTGAGATTGGTTTGGTAGTGTCCAGCACATTCTGGACTTGTGGAGTTGATTGGAGGTGGTGGTGTAGAAGTGAAAGAGCTTTTTCCGCTTACGCTGTGTGCTTCTGTGTCAGTGAATGGCAAAAGGCTGCCGGTTCCGGGGAAAGACCTCCATTTGATCGAAGGTCGACCACCCCCCGGCTGTTCCATCAGCCATTTCACATGCAGGTTTCCGCTGAGAGATTTATATCTTGGAAGTGCAGAGGCAGATTGATCCCGCTGTTTATGCTTGAGAGAGCAGTGGGCACATGTTTGATCGAGGGATCTCTCTGCGAGAAGAATTGTTACACGCTAGAGCATCCTTCGCAATTCAGGGACATGCTGACAGATCTCCTCGTCACTGCATTGGAAAGACGTTTACAGGACGGGTTGGACGTGTCACCGTTACACTGCGAGCTGCATCAAGTTTTTACTGTCTGACAAGTATGATCCATTTAACCGCCGAATGGCAGGGGCACATGAAGAATTGAATGCGGCTTGAAAGGTTGCCTCTTGACTGTGCAACATGGTCAAGACCAGGAGGCAACACAAGCAGGATGATTGCGTAGCATTTCCCAACAGCCTCCAGGAGAAGCGCTCAGCTTCTTGGCCGTGTTAGCCGGCGTTCGTGGCCATACAGACCTTATGTCGGATACTTTCCGTCCTATGGCCAGATTTGGAACTTTATATATCGGAAAATGTAACCTGCAGAGTAAGATGTGCGGAAGGAAGGGGTTGATTGACTCCTTGTACAACAATACAAAATGATTGCATCCAGTATGGAACCTCCGCTTCAGAGCTCCTGGAAGTGCCAATCGAGGTCTTCACTGCCAGCAAGTGAAGTGCACTGAGCTGGACCAAGACTAGAGTCTTGTCGTTGGCTTGTCGTTGGCTTGGCTTTCCCCTTTTCCGTCCGGCCCTTGCGGTCTGCGGGCATGGTGCACGCGCGGGTTGAGCAGTCAGCCATTTCATGCTTGTTGTTTCCTGGGAGTACTCTTGCTGTCTTGCACCCATCTACATTACTCTCAATCATCGTATCGACACTATCAACACCGGTGTCATCAATGAGACGGCCATCCCCAGAGTCCATCTGTTACCGGCCACCTTTAAGGCCATTTCACGTTCTAACTTCGACCCCACCTGACGAAACCTCCCTGACGAAACCTCACTGACGAAACCTCCCTGACTCGTAACTATCCAGTCAACCTTTGTCAGAGCTTAATCATCCATGAAGACTCTTGGCCGGCAATAGACTTCGGCTTGCGATGCCTTACATCGCCATCTCACATGCCTTGAGCGTGTCGGCAACGGCTATTCTTCGGCGCAATCCCGTGCCGCCTGCAATAGCCTGAGCATCATGACTAAGTCTATTTCTCGTTTTCAATACCCAATTCTGCCCCCACGAAATCATGTTCTCCGCAATGGAGATGATGATCGTTGCTCTTCTAGGCAGAACCGCCGGGGTGGGTTTTGTGGGATCCCCACACTCTTCAGGACCCCGCAAATTTCATGACTCGTCGTCCTGCGGAGCATGTATGAGAGCCTACTGACGGAATCGAGGGCACACCATGGAGGCCAACAATCACCGAAAAACCAGCTTTGCAAAAAAAAGGTAGCGTCATTCGCGCCCTTTCTCTTTGCGCCACCACAATGGGTACCGGCCTATATAAGACGACGAAGCCGAATCTTGCGACGGGGAGGAAATGGCGCGCAAGTCCCAATAGCGAGTCTTGAGCCTTCAGAATGAGACTTTTGGCTGCTTCCTTCTTTGCTCTCTGGGCCGTGGGGAATGCTGCACCGAGCAGCGTTTCCAATCCTAAGGCCCACGTCCGCAATGGTACCTACGTTGGGGTGAGAAATGCGAATTACCAGCAAGATTTCTTTTTAGGTATGCCGTATGCCCAGCAGCCTGTGGGAAATTTGCGATTCAAAGTTCCCCAATCTTTGAATGAGAGCTGGGAGGGGGAGCGCGATGCAAAGGAGTACTCAAATATCTGTGTCGGATACGGCGTAAGTCAACTCCTCTCTCTTGGCAGAAGCCAGGCAGGCTGATTGAGAGTAGTCGGACTCTATTTGGTATCCGATGTCTGAAGCTTGTCTCACCATAAATGTCATCCGCGGTTCGTCGGTCGATGAGAGCTCGAAGCTGCCTGTTGGTGTGTGGATACATGGGGGTGGATTCTACATGGGCTCAGGCTCTGACGAGCGCTATAACATGTCTGCTATCGTTGCAAACTCGTACGAAATTGGTATGACATATGCTCAGGCACAAGAAGGCAATCTATCAAGATGCTTACCTGTTCAGGCAAACCCTTCATCGCCGTTTCGCTCAACTACCGCCTTTCTGCATGGGGCTTCTTGAGTTCTCAGGAAGTCGTTGACAGTGGGAACACCAATATCGGGCTCAGAGACCAAAGATTGGCGCTCCAATGGATCCAAGAGAATATTGCGGCGTTTGGAGGCGACCCGGCCAAAGTCACCATCTGGGGAGAGTCCGCTGGAGGAATGTCTGTTGGCTATCATCTGACAGCGTACGACGGCAGAGACGATGGTCTCTTCCGCGGAGCTATTATGCAATCTGGTGGCTCAATATCCGTTAGTCCAGCCAGCTACACGGTGTTCCAAGGCTTCTACGATGATCTTGTATCGAAAGTTCAATGCTCAGACGCTAAAGACACGCTGCAATGTCTGCGTGAAGTTCCCTTTGAGACGTTGAATGCCGCGCTCAACGGTACTGGCGGCTTACCCAACTATAGATTTGCCCCCGTGGTTGACGGGGATTTCATCCCGGATCGCGGCAGTGTCCTCTTGAAGGAACACAAATATGTCAAAGTCCCCATCATTGCTGGTACGAACACAGACGAGGGGTCAGTGTTTGGTCCCTCTGGAATCAATACCACGGAGCAATTCTACGAGTACCTCACAGGTTTGTTGGAGTGCTCTTCATCTTTATTGCTAGAAGACCTGCTAACCATCAAGATAGATGCCAAATATGGAGGGACAATCAAGCTCACTCATCCAGTAGCAAAGCAAATCCTACGGCTCTATCCTGACGACCCGTCCCAAGGTATCCCTGAGTATCTTGGATCCCAACGTGTGCCATCCATGGGCTATCAATGGCGACGTACATCTGCCTACGCAGGGGATGTGATGATGCACGCCATCCGCCGCCGACAATGTGAAGCGTGGACAGAGACATCAACGCCGGCGTACTGCTACCGCTTCAATGTCCACGCGGCAGACGTTCCTCTACTCCTGGGAGCCACCCACTTTGAGGAGGTGGCGTTTGTTTTCAACAACATCGAGGGACTTGGCTATCATGGTGGTAAACCGTTTGACGGCACGCCTGAGTCATACAAGCAGCTCAGCAAGCTGATGACGAGCATGTGGGCTTCATTCATCCACGACTTGGATCCAAACTCGGGCATCAAGAACTCCCCCGTGCACTGGGATCCGTACGGCAGAAGAAAGCCAGTCGACTTGCTCTTCGATGCCAATGTTACGAGCCACATGGAGCCCGACACATGGCGGAAGAAGGGGATTGACTATATCAATTCCAAGGCTGATGTTTATGGGCGATGATTACATTGATCATGTGCCTTGAGGATCACAAGCATTTCTCTGATTGTAGCACAGACGTAGAGCCGTGATATTTTCGAGTACGTCTACTGTTGTAGCTACAGTTGTAAATAGAACGTAACCACCACGATAATGATATATGTCTACAATACCAAGAACTTTTCGGAAGAATTGCCTCGTACTCTCTGTAAACATATCCATCTTTCGTCGACAACACCGACATTACCAAATCATGCTAGGAGCAGTTATCGCCAATCTACTCCACGCCATTGGCGACCGTGCATCTTCTAGACAGAATGTCCAATTGAACGACTCGACATACCTCAGAATGAGGAACGTAATATTCATTCCTGTACGTTTACAACGGTATGCAAGGGCAGACTGCTCCATTACCTACGATCATGTCAAAACTCAAAACTGGTCCAAACCCCAAAGATTACTAGATGTTTCGAGTTTGGATACCAAGGGACTCTGATACTAAGGTAACAAATACTCGCATCTGCACAGAAGATATAACGTTGACAAGCCTAATTATAGCAAATGACAGCTGTCATGTATCCGTTCCAAAAGTCTCATTGAGAATCGATATCCAATGTATATGGTCCTAAAGCCAATAGGAAGTAAGAGGACTCTTATTCAGTGTACGAAAATTACGTAGTACATACCTATGTATGTCAGGAAATACCAATATCTTACAGTCAGCAGGGATAACGGTATCACACCTTACCTCATATGGAAGTCAGGTGCATGCTGATAATGATATTCGGACGAGTCGTGGTTGCACCCACAGCACATTAATCTCCTAGAATAAAGTTTTTTCCTCATGTACAGGTACACATTCCGTTTTACGTTGGAAATATCTGCGGACCGCTGGGACATTCTTTTTGCATGATCTGGACAGTATGCATGTCTTGATGCTAGCTATGCCGGTCAATAGTTCCAACCAACCATAGGTCATAGATGTGTCCCTTGCTATTCTCGGGTAGATAGGGTGGAGAATGCTGAATGATTGCTTAAACTTAGGGGGCGATTGAGGAATTACCATTTTGGGATTAGCTTCATAAATCTCCTTTTCATGCAGTTTAGCTAATGAGATGACAGCGACGATTACTTACGCAAATAGTCGCTCAGGTCAGTACTAATAAAAGACAAAGGATAACTTATACAAAATATTAATGACTGCATACATTTGACAATAGATGAGGTATGAATATGAGGTCTATATGTAACTATAGACAATAGACTACGGTAGTATGCAATGCGCAAACAGCTAGGGAAGATGTGGAACGATTGAGCGTTCCAGATCGATCTCTGATCCATCGCGCTTCGGCCGATTGCTAAGTTTCAAGGACGCATTCAACCTTCCATTCTCCGGTAGTTCGAAGGTAGATCTGCGATGTAATACCGTCAGGACGACTGTTTTACCAAGCATCGAGCATCCACGGTTGGTAGTCAATACAACAATAGGGGGGTTAGGGGGTCGGTCAAATGCCGCTAAGCGGTAGCCTTGCATGGCCCGGATCTTCTATCTGCAGATTGGCCGTCGACCGTCCAACCGGCCGCACGCCCTAAGAAATTTGAAATAGATGCAGAGGTATTGCAAATAAGCCTCAAGCCTCGTCGAGCCTGTCCGTTTCTGGACAAGCGAGGTCATCTACTCAGGTACTACCGATAGTTTGCCTTGCTTAAGCCAGTTGGGTAGGACGTCATGCGTGCTATGAACCATCCACGTTTCCGGGTCTCAGGAGGCCCCGAGCCTCACCAGTGTTCTCATCTATTGTATCTCTCGATTCGGGCCGCTCTTGTGAGATGCAAGCATGCAGGTATGGCCTTACGAACATCCAATTCGGCAATCTTCTGATGCGCTGTAGCCGAGCATATAGGTACGGGGCCATCCTTACCTATTTGGGCGGTTTGCACGCTGACGTAGTGAACTGTATCCATAAGGATTTGCCTGGGATCTGCATCCGCATAGATCCGCATACTGTATTACCCATCTACAGATCTCGTCGTGCGGGCTGCAGCAGGAAAAAGCGTATTGACCAGTCAGGTGATGTCGATTTGGGCAAATCTCTCCTTGCTTCCGGCATGGCTATTGACTAGAATTTTGGATGCAAGCGAAGAGAATCGTTGTCGTGAAGGACGCCGATCTGTTTTGTAAGCGGCAAAATAGCGACTCATTAGTGAAGACTAGGCCATCGTGCTGCTGTGTAACGTGAGTAATCATCACTGCCCTATCTGCTGATCTACTAGCGTATACTATTGGACGCTGATTGAGACAAAGAAAGTGTTTCAAGCCCACGATCCCAACATGGGTTGGATAGAGATCGAAGCGAGACATGGACTCATCTCATATCCCAAGACATACCTTGCTTGGGCACTAACTGGAGCTTCCTTTTCAGAGCCCGTTCTATTAGACCAGAATGACCGGGGACGATCCGATAGTATGGTAATGGTACACGGAACAGGTAGGCTGAGTTTTGAGACCATTCAATCATCGTGATGATATCTAGTCCTCCCCTGAGCAAGTGGGTCTTCGGATCCCATCTGACTACCCGTTTGGGACCCATTGATCTCCGGATGTCACCACCGAGCAATCAGGAAACGACACACATATGTAGTGGGTCACTTCTCATACTTGATCATGTGAAGTCAAGAGTCCAAGAGAAAAACAAAGACAAGACAGGATGACTACTCCAACTGCATCCACTTTGAGCATGGGTGATAGACGATTGCAAAGGCACGACGGACTTTTAATGCTGTACCTACGGACTCTATACTGTAAAATACTCCGTACAGAATGATGTAGGTAGGTACATTAGTACTGTACCCATCTCGACTTGTACTCCCACATCACCCCTACCCCTAAAGAACGAATCCGAGTTTAGATCCAGACTAATAACATCCCACCAAAAGTTCAATACCCAACCTTCAACAATCAACTATTCCCCAATCATGATGAAGAACCGGGAATGAGAATTTCGGTTCGACTCTGAACGCCCCACCACCAACGAGCTAAAAGCGGCAGGAAGAGGTTAAGATCTGGAATTGGGCCGTCCTAGTCTTCCGGCTATCGTGGTACCTTTCTAGAAAGAGATGGTGCATTGTATTCGTCTTACTCTAAGCGAGCTCCATTCGTCGATATACAATACCAAAATAGCATGAAGTACTGTAATAGACCCATAATGGGTCAGGAGTGGAATATCGCACGGAGCACCGAGTACTTTCTGCAATAAAATTTGGACATGCATTCCTCGTGGAATAGAAACACAGATCACCCGAGTACATACTCCATACGGCATACGGAATTGAATTTCAACGATGATTATTACCAGACTGAGGAGAGTATAGCCCGAGTACCATAGAATTAGACTCTGAAGTAGGAGCACACCGCTCCCTGGCACCGAGGGTTTGGGTCGTCCATAGTTTCTGATACACTCTTTCTTGCTTAGCTGGGCGACTGAATTCCTTCCGCCACGGCCTTCGTCCGTGCTCGGCCGGAGATCGGTGACGGCTTTTTTACTTCAGATTTCCGCGTGGTCGCCGATAATGTCGTACCAAATATGGAAGACCAGTGATTATGGTCCCCGGCAAATAATTCTTCTACCATTTGGAAGCATTATTTACCGATGCCAAGTGACAGAAGACAATGTACGTCAGATGCCGCGGAGATCCGAATATGAAATCTATGTAATCAACCTGTAACCTTTGGGTCAAGCGGGGACGGTACCTGACTATGGATTACACTGCCCCCCTTCTAGACTAGGCCATAAGGAGAACCATTCGATATTCCACCATCGGACAGCATCCCATTTTGTGAAATTCCTCTCACCAATCCTTTCCAGGCTCCAGCGGAGATATCCCGGATAAGCAGCAACGACTGAACTCAATCTACGAGACACTAGCTGAAATTAGGTTACACCACATCACCATAGCGTTGAATAGGACGCTTATTTGTAATCACCAGATTGTGCGGTGTAAGGAACTTGCGATCCTCACCTTCCGTTTTGGAGTCAGGAGTACACTTGATCAATAGTCTCTCAGTGGCGCAGCCAAAAGAATCCATTTGTCGTAAAAAGCGAGTCTGATGACCAATGCAAGATTGGAGATGAGATTAGATCAGGTGAGATGAGATGAGATCCATGAGATCCGATCCGATGCGATGCGATGCGATTCGATCGAACACTAGGCTGGATACAGGTTGGTAGGTTTTCACTTCGTATTTTAAAAACACGGCAAAACCTTGTTGTTATGTAAATACAAACTCACAGTACAGGCATATCGGTCCACACACCAGCATGATTTCATAGCCTGTCTTTGCAGGTGGAAGCATATGCAAGTCAAACTCAAATATGTGTGCCATACTTCGTAGATCCATAAGCGTCTCTCTTGGTCATTTGTCATTTGCGACTACGGGAGTCCTCCGTAACATTATTGACGTTTAATTAAAATCGACGATATGGGATCCACGGTGGTGGTTCTGGTGGGTTCTAGCGCGATTCTGAAATTCGGGACTCGGTGATTGGTCGCTTACAGTGCTCTGTAAGATGCCCGCCAGGGTCTGGTTAGTACTCACTATACCGCTTTTAGTCATTCAAGATCCAGCCCTTTTCTCCTATATCAACATCATCATCATAAGTGACTACATAGTAGACACATACGAAAGGAAGAATACACAACCACGACAGACAGTGGCAAATCTCCTACAGAGTAGATACCTGCAACTTACCAGTGACGCTACGTACGCCACGGAATCGAACTCTGGGAATAAAACTCTATCCAAAGCCATGCGGCACGCATCCTACGCTATGACAAAGTCTATCTGGAGGCCCATGCGTCCGATGCGCGCTAAACAGTCACTAGACAGCTAGTCCTAGTAGCCTGATGAATCCTTCAGAGTTCACTTCCTGAGCCTTGCACGTCATAAAGTACCCCGTGACGAAGTACGGCCAGAGAGACTGCAGTATACTCATCTGTACTCATCCTGTGCGGAGTAGCGCCTA